TATTGATAAGATTGCAAAAACTGTATAATCTTCATGATTCTGTGATGAGGTTGACATTGCTTCTCCTTCTTCTTCAAATATTTGAAGCAACTGTTTTTTCAATTCTTCTTTGGTTGCTTTTGGATTTTGCCTTCTCATTTTATTAATATATTCAGCAAAACTATTTGGGTTTTCTTCTAGTGTTTGACCTGGGACTCTTTTGAGGTTAATATTCTCTGGATCAAGAGACTTGTTCTCATAGACGTTCCACCATTTAATATATATTTTCTTTCCTAGCCTTGGGATATATTCTCAGTCATTGGTCAGATTATCAGATATTGCAAAATTCCATTTCATAATCCGGAATGCTATGAAGTATAAATGGTGATCTATTTGGGGGTCATTATTATTGAATTCAACAAACTTGGCTTGAGATTTTGTATTTTATCAGGAAGAATCTCTGTTCCGGATCCCCAAATCTAGAACCAGTTCCTAAACCAATTAGGAAGTTTTTCAACTATTGGCAATTTCATCTGTACGAACCAAGTGTGTGAGTTATTGCTATTTTGGAGGGTAAAAACCTTATGCCAGGCATCCGTGTATTCAGAATATTTGTAATATTTATTATTAAATTCTGGAGCCTGTAACTTTCTACTTCTCATAGGGTCTGATCCCCATTCTTTATATGATATTATTTTTCTTATTTGGAGCTTTGAGTAAGCTACTATATTTGTATTTCTTTGGTAGAAATGTACCAAAGTGATAGAGCCTGTTTCCAGTAGGAATGCTTCGTACCATTCTCTCGTTTCATTACCATTGGAGGGATTCAAATTATTTATTAAATACTGGTTGGCAATAATTACTGGGTCTAAAGCCCAATGCTCATCTTCTATTATTGTATCTATTAAAAAGGTGGTTTCTATAAACAAAGATTTTTCTGAAGGAGAAACTCTTATTGGGCTAGGATAAGAGACAAGTTCTTGAGCCTGTCTTTTTATAAGTTGGCTTGGGGTTCCAGGAGAGTTTATTATCGGTTTTCCTGAAAATGGTGGATGACTTATTATAGGTGGTCCAGAAGATGGAGATGGAACAATTTCCATTTTATTCTTTCCTTTATTCTGAGCATTGGTATTCATTATTGCCTGCCTTCTGTCCCTATCTCTGTCCCCCCTGCAAAAATTCACGTGTTAAGAAATCAGGAAGAAAGTTAGAATTGCCTTTTAGATGTTCTATTGTAAAATCAAAAGATGAGAGGATTGCTTGCCACCTGGCAAAAATTTGTTTTGAGACCAAATTTTTGACATCTTTGAGTAAGATATCTTTTGCTGCCTTACAAATCACTCTGAAATTTTTTTACACAATGAACGATGGCTAAGATTTCTTTCTTAACCGTGGAGTAATTTTGCTAAGTGGTATTCCAAACTTTTGAAGTAAAGCGGACTAATTGGTCTTTGTCATTTATTCTTTGTTCCAAAATTCCTCCTAATCCTATTTCGGAGGCATCACATTCAATTATTTTAAAAGCATCAGGATTAGATAGTGCTAGACATGGTAAAACCTTTGCCTTATTTTTTATTTTTTTAACTGCCATCGTATGCTCATCAATCCACCTAGGTGGATTCTTTTTTAATCTTTCAAATAAAGGCTTAGCATCAATGGCAAGATTTTCATAAAAATCCGAAATATAATTTAGGCAGCCTAAAAATCTTTGGAGTTCTGTTTTGTTTAAAATAATATCGGGAAATTTATTTGCAAAGTCTATAGCCCTATCAATAGGGATAATACTTCCTTGAAAAATATTGTGACCTAGGAATGTTATTTTGGTTTGGCAAAGACTGATTTTCTTGGCCGAGATAACTAAACCCGAAGCTTTAATTGCATATATAAATATATTTATATGCTTGAAATGTTGTTCAATGCTTTCTGAAAATATCAAAACATCATCTATGTAAACAATCATAAATTTCATATAAGGATTGAAAATATCATTCATTATATTCTGAAATTCTGAAGGAGCATTTTTTAGCCTAAAAGGCATTACGTTCCATTCATACTGTCCGAAGGGGACATTAAAAGTAGTTTTATATTTATCATTTTCAGCTATCTGTATTTGTCAATAGCCAGACTTTAAATCAAATTTAGAAAATATACAAGCACTGACAAGCCTACCAAGTAGATTTTTTTTATTCCGTATTGGATATCTTATCCATTTGAGTACCTGGTTTAAAGGCTTGTAGTTTATTACCAGTCTTGGTGCTCCTCGCTCCTTTTCTGAGGCTTTTAGCAGATCATTACAAATCTCTTCTTCTATTTTTCTTTGAATATTTTCAATATTCTTCTTATTTTCTGGCAATGAAAGTCTTTCATCTATTATTCTATGTTTTACTTCTTCTTTTAGATGGCATAGAAATCTTTCTTTATTTTCTATAGTTTGTTTGATGTTATTAACTTCTCTTACTTTTGGTTTATCTATAAAATCAAATTTTACCTTATGTCCTTCTAGATTTGATTCAATCCTTGTACTATCTATTTTCAAAGGGTATAATAAATTTAAAAAAGAAGTACCAAGTATAACAACTTGGCTCAACCCTCTTACCATAATGAAAGGCATTTCAAAGCAATTACCATTATTACATATTGCAGCATTGGACAATTTATATTTACTCATTAATTTGCTACCATCTACTGTATTAAGTATTTGAGTTGTTTTACTAAAATATTTAGTAAGAACTAATCCTTCATTTATACAGATAAGATCTGCTCTTGAATCTATTAATGCTAAAGATTGAAAACTGAATTCTTTACGTACTATTATTCTTACTAAAGTAAACCATTTCTGAGTAATAACTTTATCTAATAGGTTTAGATAATTATTATCATGTATAGATTTATCAGCTGATTCAGACGATTCTGGGGCTCCAATTATTGGAGGCACTATTGAAGGTACTATGTTTTTATGGGTTTGCAAAAGACTATCAAATTCTAATTCATCATCATTATCTTCTTCAAAAAAATCAGCAGTCATTTCTAAAATTCTTATTCTATTCTTAAGATGTTGAACTTCAGATTTTACTTCGTTTATTTCTTGTCTCAGTTCAGAAATAGAAGGCTCTTTATGAACAATATCTTTTTTACTAATTCTTTTAAGTATTTCTGCTAAACTATATTCCTCTTGTGTCTTAACTAGAGGGACAGGTTTCTTTTTGGTTTTAGCCATTTGTATATATTGTGTTAAGGCTTCTCGTTTGGCTTCTGGGTCCGCTATGTTATCTATTAGTTCTATGATTAAAAACTCTTCATTTGTAAGAGTATTACAGAAACAATCTTTCATTTCCTCATCAGAGTCGGAACTACTCAATATTAAATTTTCATCTTCTATTCTTCCGACAATAGTCTCAGTTTCTGAGTTTGAGGTATCAGTATCTGATTCTTCTTCTATCTGAAGTATATCGTATATCTGAGTTTTGATTTCCTCTTTAAGCTGTAGGGCATGGCATTGATTTTCTTTTTAACCTTACATTTATTTTTGTAATGTCCTACTTTCCCACAATTATAACATACTGGGATTTTTCTTTTTCCCTTTTTCAATTTGGTTTTGGGGAAAATTTTTTAGTAAACTTATCTTTTATATCTTTCTTTTTACCAAAGTTATACTTTTTATTTTTATTTTTCCTTTTATAGAGTATATCAGATGATGGAATCGTATTATAACCAAATTGTTCACAGATATCTCCTAATTCCTTTTTACTAATCATTCTTTGCTTTTCAAGTTACCTTTTTAACTTTAAGTCAGTACACAGAGCAAGACCTTCTGCACAGATTTCTGCAGATAATTCTCCAAGGGTATAAAGAGAGTATGGAATTATTCCTTCATTTTTATTCTTTAGTCTATTTTTTACCTTTTCGCCAAACAGGTAAGGTAATCCTGCTATGAATTTTTCTTTCCAATGGTCCGCACTACTGTCTTCTCGTGACAGAAGTCGTGAGAAGAACACATCTTTATACCATTTGTAGTGGGATAATGTTGGACATCTTAAATTAGATAGTAGATCTTCTAACCTAGCATCTAATAAGGAAGTACTTCCCACAAAATGAAGCGTTATTGTATAAATAAGTGTATTAATAGCATCACTTTCACTATGAGGTATGTCTTGATTGAATTCATTTTTTACAGTCCATTGTCTTGTAGCATTTAAAATTTGTTGTTTAGAGGATTCACTCATGTGGAAATCCCACCATCCCCTGAACCATCCTGTAAATCCACAGACAATGGCTTTGGCCACTTCTTGGTCATGATTTCCTGCTATCTTGCAGGCAATAGCATACATGGTTATATGCTTCATGGTATCAAGTATTTGATGATCAAACATACCATCGATATTCCAATTAACAATTGTTCTACCTGAGTAAGATACAGTACTGTATTAGAGGGATAAATATATATATATATATATATATATATATATAATCCCCACTCCCATGAACCCCTATGTTAATTTTAATTTTGTTTCATTTTTTTTTATTTGAACACCAATTCAAACCCGATACAGATCGGGCGATTTGACACAAACATGCATGTGAACGATCTCATGTACCGATCTGGGTTTTGAAATATGGAGAAAAATACAGAACTAAACAAGATGGCCTAGCTAAAGTCTAAGGAATACATCAGGCACCATTTTATATATCCACAAAAATATTAAAAAAACATAATGGCTTTAACCTCAGCAATTCTTACCATGGGATATTAAAAGCTAAAGACCAAATAAATGCTAACTATCATTACAGGATGTGAAAATAGTAATACAAGTGAATCCACATTTTATACTTATTCTCTATGGAGTTCCTCGTCGCAACCTAGAAAGAGAAAGAGAGATTTTTTATTTTTTTTTTGGTTTTTTCAAGAAATCAGAGGTAATTGGTTATACCTGTAATTCTTCATTTCCCAACCAGAAAGAGAGACAACTTCTTTCAAAGCATTTCTCCACTTCTGCACTGTCTCCTCATCAAACCCATTCTTATTCCTATGATCCACAAAGGCTTCCTCAAAATGCCCCTTTTGGAAGCGGACATGCGAAGGCTCCACATCATAAAACACAGCAAAGATGGTCCTCTTCCTCGACAAACTCAGTAAATAAGAAATTTGGTCAAGGCAGAAAGAAGAGCAAGCATAATTGGAGGAGAAGACAGCTATAAACACCTCACACTTTTCAATGGCTCTCTGTATATCACTCAGTTGCTGCTGTTGTTGTGTCGGTAAGAATGCGGAGATACCAGAAACATCAAGAGCTTTCTTCAGATGGGATGTGAAGGTCTTTCCCGTGTCTAGGTCACAGAAGTTCAGGAAAACTTCCATGGATTTGATTTGAGTTATCTCGATCTAAATCCCTAGCTGGTGAGTGGAGCAGAGATTTTCTAGGGTTTGTTCTAATTCACAATGTTTTGCAGCTTTGCGAAGGAGTTTAGGCTCTCTCTACACCAACGCGACTTTGGTTAATTTCCCCCTGTGTCGGGGCAGATTACTTGGAAAGGGAGGAAGCAATTCCTGCGCAGAAATTCCGCTCAACCCTATGGGTACGGCCACCACCGACATTTTTCATCCCAATGGAGAAGAAAAAGGAGAAGCAGCAGCAGCAGCAGCAACGAATCTTCCCTCCAATGATTAGACTAGTGGGAAATTTGTTTCATGCGGGCTGGACCGCATGGCTATATATCGGGTCCAAAAAAGTGTAAAAAAAAGAAATTAATGGCCCAAATGTTTTTCTACTAAAATTATTATTTTTAATTTTTAAAAAATATATAATGAGATCATTTACCCATGATACCATCCAATGTAAAATTTAATAACTTGGATATGTCATAAAATTCTAGAATTTTTTTTTTGGAAGGTTGAGTTTGATCAATGGAATAAATACAGCCCTCTAATTTCACTAACTAATGATCAAGATCAATGGTTTTATTGCATACTTTTTCTAATAGAACCATATAAAATTTGATAATTTCGATGTGTCATAAATTCTAGAAAAAAAATTTTGATGTTTGAAGTTGGTCAATAGAATAAATACAGCCATCTAATTTCACCCGACTAATAATCAAGATCGATGATTTCATTGTATACTTTTCATAACAAAACGACAAAACAAGATGGGTATTGTAAATGAACGAATTAGGAAAAGCCATTGCTTAATTAACGGAAAAATCTCAGCAATTGATGTTAATACCCTCTTAGATATCTCGGCAACTAATGAGCTACATGCTACGAAATTTCCGGCCACAATTTCATCACGAGTTGTTGGGGTTTTCTTAGGTTTACAGCATTTCAAAATTTAGGAGGGCGTGTCCTGAGAAAAAATAAGTGATGTAAGGAGATAAAATGCACGAAGGGGGGTTTATGAAGGGTGTCAATGTTGGTAATGGTGATAGCCAAATCACTAAACTCATATTTTCAAGGTATTATGGTAAAATGAAAAAAATTAAGAAGCAAGAAAATGAAATTTTTATAAGAGAATCAAATAAGAAATAATACCTATCTTTTTTAAGGTCACCTTTTTTAAGGTTATGGGAATGGATTTTCAATATGAAGATAGATTCTCAAGAGAGAGAAACATGGCCTCCGAAAGAGAATCGATATTCCTATAAGTTTTAGATTGGTTAACTTTCACTTTTAGAGAGAGAAAGTCTCTTGGTTGCTCTCGAGGTTATCTTTCCAATAGTGATATTGCAATGAGAAAGATGATGTTGATCGACAATGTTGTACAGTCGGAAGAGCAGGTTTACAAAAGAAGATTAGTGATGGTTTTTTAACAATGTTTAGATATAGGTAGTATCTGAAGGGAAGATCGATGATAGTTTTTTACCAATGTTTAGAGATATGTATTATCTCTTGTAATTCAAAACTGTAATATTCATTGTGATAGTGAATTTCTACTTGCCGAATCCGTGGATGTAGCCTTATGAGGTGAACCACGTAATCTTGTGTTTTTTGTGTTTGATTTATTTCTCGCACTCTATTTGTAGTTGTATTCATCTATTTTGCATTTAGTCAACCATGTACACGATCTTGGGTAGGATCCCGATGTTTGGGATTCTCGATTTCGCAAACTATGAGGTTCTCAAAAACCCTACACCCAACCCGCCACGGTCAACCCATCTTTAAAAAGCTAGGGCATGGGCCATATTATGTGGCACGAGGGTGGCTAAGCAACTGCGGCCCGATGGTAGGGTCGGGCTGGGCATTGCCCTCTCTTTCTTAGTTTTTTACTTAATTTTTTTTTATTTGGCCAGCCGGACCCCAATAGGGCTAACGCTAAGGTCGGACCTGGGCTAGGGCTAGGGCCAGGGCCAAGGCTTATTTGGGCCGATCAGCGTTAGGCGTGGCCCTACGGGCTGGGCTCGGCTAGGGCTGGCTCAGCCCGGCCCGACCCACCCCAAACCTTTGCCGGCCCTTAGTACGAAGGTTTAATTCAAGCATGTCATGTCCACTGAAATAAAAATAAATGAGACTTTCCACATAAAATAGAGGTTATATATGATAATTTCGATGGACCCAAACCTGGACATGGGGGCCCAAACCCGACCCATATCCAGGTCTGGGTCCAAATCTTGGACCTGAATACCATCTAAGTTTGATCAGGTCCGGATCCAAGTCTCACAGCTGCTTGATGATGTTTGAAATTTCTGAGGATACAATATTTGTTTGACAACTCAAGGACTACTAGCTCCTCATAGCTAAGATCACCTGGGAGGTACGGCAAAGGATAACCCTGCAATTTTAGCCGCACTAATTTTGGTGAAATGGATTTGAAGTTTCCATTAAGAGATACACCACTGATACTAAGTCTCTTCAGATTGGTCATTGGTTTAAATGCTTCAAGTTCCCAACTTCTCTCCGATTCATTCTTGAGCATTAAGCCTCGTCCCTCTCCGATTCTTTCTTGAGCATTAAGCCTCGAACCTTACGTGTTCCCTAATCAGCTATAGTAGTAAACGTCAGCCAAGCGACAAGATGCCCAAAAAACATAGGTATCTATTCTAACCATATTTTAAGCGACAACATGACCATATTTTCTTTTGACGAACCAGAGTTAAATTGATACCAATGAAATAATTCATTAAATGATTTCTCCAATTAGGAATTTCTTACCGTATGATTCTTCATTGTGGTAGGGACATCTTCTTCAGACCATAACCTACTACGCCTTCGAGGATCATCTAGGTCTTCCAGTTCAACAATCCGTCTCCCCAGATCACGAAGTTGGTCGTGCATCCATGCCTTAAGGTCTTCCAGTTCAACAATCCGTCTCCCCGGATCATGAAATTGGTCGTGCATCTACGCCTAAAAGTGTCTTTATGACTTTCAAAAGTTACGACACTTAAAATACCGTAATGACTTGAAGGTGTACCATAGTACTCAAAAGACCTTGATAGTCTTGACACCCACATCCTCTCTCCTTGCTACCGTCACGGTCTTCGAGTACACGTCATACACCTCTTTATGTGCCGGTGCTGAGTTCTGTTTTTTACAGGTTTCTTCTCGGGTGGGGTTGGTGGAAGATTTAAGGTGGGCATGATGCTCTCTTTGTCAAAGGAGGGGTGAGAGATCATTTCTTCTACTTCGTGGTCACGTAAAAGGTCAGAGATGTCTATCGTATCGAAATATGTTGAAGAAGGGTTTTTGGGTGTATTGGACATTTCTTCTTCACATAATCGGTGCGGATTGCAAGGTGGTCTTTAGGGTTGTAACAACCAATGATGGCGTCAAAGATTTCAGTTTCTTGTTGATGAACCTCAACCCCTTCATTCCCTAGTGGGTGTAATTCTGAAAAATGTGCCTGGAATATGATGATTTCTGGCTGTGTGCGTGCGCGCAACAACAGAAGAGGCAACAATCCAAGGAAAGAGCAAGAAGAAAGGATGTGGGTGTGCTCAGCTGCTACCATCAGAGTCTTTCAAGTATCATGATACACTTTCGAATCGTAAGTGTATTTTAGGTGCCGCATAACTTTCGAAATTCATCATGACACTTTAACTACCGTGATACATAAAACCTTTACAGTAATACGACTACCGTGAAGACTATTTTGATTAAAAAAAAAATGTAAAACATGATTAAAAAATATATGGACGAGATTTACAAAAGTTTAAAGTTTTTTTTTCTAATAAGTCGAAACTTAAGGTATGTTTCGAATAATTTCACTTGGATCTGCCAGTTTCACCACTCACATACACACACACAAACTCTGGACCTAATCAATTTTGGGTTTGTTGGACTTGGATAAGCCTTATAAGATCCAAATCCAATCTAGTCAATGCGAACTTGTAATTCGGTTCGGATCAACGCATTACATTACTAGTTAATGGGACCTTTCTACCGATGGGCACTTCTATCTTAATCCCCTGGAGGTGTGTGTGTTTTTTTTCCTTTTTTCTTTTTTAATTTTTTAAAGAAACCATGTGGTTGGAGTTGTTTTTAAATTTTGAATTTGAGTTCTCAAATCCTCGGATTTAAATATCCATCCAATAGAAGACCTAGAGGGAATCTAGGAGGGGGGATTCATTTGGAGCAGAAAAATGAAAGACATGAGTCAAAGGATTCATTCATACATGAACTGTCCAATTGTTTGTGTCCGTAACTAAGCTGGAAATGTATAAAAATGGCTGTAGGAAATTTGCCATCTCAAAAAGACTTCAACAGAAGGAACTATGAAGAGCAACGAAACAAACTAGGAATTTAGGATCATGTTGCTTGCGTTGGAAATTGAGAAAAGTACTTTGACTTTTCCTAAAATTAGCCCAGGTTTGGGAAACTTTTATTAAATATATATAGGCGTAAAATCATTTAAGAAAATACAAAAAGCACTCATCTATGAAGGTACTTTAGGAAATCATTTTGAATCTAAGGATGATTTTTGGTTTCAACCCCAACATAAATCTTAAAAGGATTTCTCAGGAACCATTTTAGCTTCTAATGAAGTCAATTAGGTGGGAAAAAAACATTCTTCAATTTTATACAAGCAATGGTTGCAATTCTTCAATTCTTGGATTAACCGCGAGCGGAAAGAGAACGTATCATAAATGTCACAAAAATAATAAAGAAAATTTTTAAAGAATACAAAGTGAAGAGTGTCAATCAAGAGGAAACCACCCACCAGAATGACATGCCTGAAAAATGGATAAAGGCTATCAAAAAGAAGATCAGAGTTGGATACCATTATGGTACAAAAGAAGAAAACAACCAATATAAAGCAAATGATAAAAGTCTCTCAATAGAATCCCAATTACTCTCTCTCTCTCTAGAAAGAGTTTCACTGCTGCTTTTGCTTTGTGGATGTATCAGATGCTCAAAGTAGGTGGTACCTCTCTTATTTCTGAAAGCAATTGTACCAAGTCACGGATTTCAAAACTTTGTTCTCTTTGAGTTGTTTTCTATTTAAAATTGAAGAGTTATGAACATAAATTCATAATGAGCACAACAGGGTAGTAGAACCATCATTCTGCAACAAGATAAGATGTCATGTACTGATCTGATAGAGAATACATACCAAATAATAAGACGATCCTCTCAAGTTGAGATTTGCTTTTGACTATAAAGTACTCAAAACCATTACCCCATTCAAACATGGACATAACCAAAAGCACAAAGAAAACTGACAGTGACAGCTTATGTCCTCCTGCAGGCATAGGAAATTCATCATCTTTTGGGATTACCTAAAGAACAACAGCATGCATAAAGAAAACAGAAATCTATTCATCAAGTATATCGTGCCATTAGACCCAGCGTTTTGAAAAACGCCGAGTCGAACCGGACTCGCCCGGTTCGACTCGGAAATAGTGAAAAAGGAACCGGATCGCCCAAAAATCGGAAATCGTCCGGTTTTCTCTAGAACCGGACGATTCTGTACAGTGAATCGCCGATTCACTGTACGGAATCGGCGAGTCCGAACAGTGAATCGCCGATTCCGTACTTAG